GGAAACTGGCCTCCAAATTGCCAAGCGGTCGCATAGAAACTCCATGTAACTCTGGTCTGACGAACACTTTAACCTTTTGTCATCGATTTTTGGTTTCTTGGGTTCCGTGCACTCTATCAATCAATATCTTGCGTCCTAACCCAGACTAGAAGACTTATTTAAAATTTTGAGCGCACGTTTACCAAATTCAGCATGAATGTGGTAGACTATTTGTGTAGTGTGTGTATCATATTGGCTGATGAGATATGAGAATGTTAAGGCTACTCATTCTGTTGTTCACCATGAGACCGCGTATAGTTTCCAAACGACCACGCGGCCTAACGTAAATGTACAGATTGAGTTTTTTCCAGCTACTGGTTCGTGATCAGAAATCTGAAAATGAATCTTTTTCTTAGATCTCCCTTCATGAAGCATTTTGGAACCTCGGAAAAGCGGTTAAGAGGTTGAAGTATTAATGTAATCATCCACTTCACCAAATTAGTGCACAAATATTATGGAAGTTCCCATCACTAACAACGGCAAACACTGTGAATCATATGCATTTTCAGCGTTCATTTGTGCCAGTGAGTCATTGGTTTGCACCTCCGGTGATTTCGATAACCAAGGAAAAACGATCGGAGATGAAAGAAGGCATGGGCCAACACTGTTAATCATATGCATTTTCAGTGTTTATTTGTGCCAGCGAGTCATTGGTTTGCACCTCCGCTGGTTTCGATAACCACGGAAAAACGATCGGAGATGAAAGAAGGCATTAGGGCCGGATTATGAGGTATAAAAGAGAAAGGTGATGCTACCTAGATTGGATGCAGGCTCACTACCAACTACCACGAGAGAGTTATCACTTGGATCCCAACCTGGCAGAAGGCATTGACCAACTTTTGCTTAAGAATGTGGTCAAAACTCCTCTAGTACACGACTGGTACATTAACTGATAACCACTCCTTCGTTCCTCTGTCGTTGGGTCTCTGAAAGAGACGCCTCGTGTGAAAGTGACTCTTTACCATTTTAAGGCCAGTAGGGGCTCTGTATTTCCAGGGCTTAGCTTTGGACCATTGCCAAATAAGACAAGTAGATGGCAGGGGCAATAATGATAAAAACCCGAGAGCTTGTGTACATAATTCTCCCGGAGGAGCTCGGCTTTCGAACTGTAAGGAAATAATCACAAAAAAGCACCTCAAACTTTGTCGTTGATGGACAGCAGCGAACGCAGAGCGCGCTTCGCTTATTCTGAGAGATGCTTCGTCCGTGAAAACACTGGTGTTTTTCGACAGTCACAAGTAGGACACGTATTGTGTAGCCGTCTGGAGCATTTCCCTCTCAGTCTCGTACCAAGCTCTTAAACCATGAAGGTGCAAAGTGTATGCGGTTAAACCCCACCGGTTTTTTAAAGGACTGCATACTGTTTGCATCTTTGAGGGTAAAGACCTGAAAGTTGTCTTCCCCACGCTCGATGTTGGTTAGTATGCCACCGTGGGAAGTGTACTTCAAAAGAGATCGATCACTGTGTGGTTGCGAATTCATTGTCGAACCACTTAGCCAGAAGTAGGACCTGCGTGTTCTACTAAACGAGTAGGTCTCTCCAAGTGTTTTTTTAATCAAAGACAGTTTATACTTATTCTTGTGTGCTTGAAAACAAGGGGAAATTGTTTCTTAACCTCAACGTAGGATATCACCTCCCTGAAACGCTGTTTTCTTTCTGAGTTAAATTTATAGTCCGTTATTGAGCTGTCCGGTCAGTATGAACTGTGTGGAAGGGCAGAGGATGGAAACTTGTGGGAGGGTCAAATGAATAACACCCAGGCACCGGATGTAATTCGTCTCCTGTAGTCGTAAATCATTCTGATGAATACCGGTTAACGCTCGTAACTATGACATTCAAGGGACTCGACCATCATCACCGATCTATGTGTGGCGCAGCATCACTCTGATCTGCCAGCCTTCCAACCACAGCTCGCAACTCCGAACGCATGAGCCTTCCCTACTCAGCCAGTGTTCAGCATCGTTCGTCACCTATGATTCAGTGAATAGTTCTCAGTTCGGAGTTTGACAAATTCGTTTGTCCTACCCTAGTTTAACGCACGGACAACAGCCAGAGAAAAGAGCGTAATGCATGTTATTGTCATTGGTGTGTGCAGTAGGAGGATAGGTTGATATACTCCTGACGAGATCCAGATGAAATCCGACTGAGTTTCCCATCAACATTAACTAAGACTCTAAATGAATATTTATCACAACACGCATGCAGTTGGGTTTTCACTTACGAAATACGACAGCCCAGACGGGAATAACAGGCGATTTCCTCACTGTTCCAGGTTCATATTATCATCTCATCACGGACTACAATACATCAGTAGTGGAAACTGTCAACTAGTGGATACAGTTCACGATTGTATATGTTTTGAGATACTGCTGCGGTGCTTAAACATATCACGGGAAATGGACATTCAGAGCTAGGTCGCAGAATTCGATAAAACGAAGTGATACTATATTTATTTTGGATAAGTTGATATCATCATCCGTAAACTGCATAGTAGTATCATATCTGTCCAAGCGGTCTTAGTAAATACCGAAAAAAGGCTCTGGGCGCTGCGGGGCGAGAAGGCTCAATTGGTTAGAGCGCCAATTTACTGACCGGAAGGTCCGTGGTTCAAACCCGACCCGTCTCTCGACTTCCCCTGCTAAGCTTGGGCGATCTGGCAGTATCCCAGCCCTCGTGCCTCCTTCGGGTAGCATGACAGCTAGGCACCGGAAGGGTGTTACAGTTGAGCAATTCTTTTATATCATTCTTACTATCAATGACCTTTTCAGACTCTCATTTAGAATGCAGTACCCCTTCCCCGTACAACCATGAAGACATCAAGAGGCGTGATTCTAAGGCCTGGTTTCCGCGAATACAATGGACGGTCAAATCAGGAAGCTACAGAGGATGCTCTACGACCAGATTTGTCCAGCCTATTGGAGGGAGCACAGTATTCAACTTTATTGGAAAGCTTTCTGTTACACGCGAGTACACATGCATATATCCTGGGACTTTGGAGTAGTAATTCAATTAAATAGCGTTGGATGTTAGTCAGGAGTATAAAAACAAGCTATGCGCCTGATCTTCTTCAGAAAAATGTGTGTCGAACAAATGTCTGCGTAAGATTCGGGCAGCTAAAGGTCTCACAGTACGATTGCGACCATCAGATTGTACGCAGTTCGTATCCAGTAGACAATAGGAACAAATGGCTGAGGGCAGCATATATATTAAGGACTGGCAGGAACTGGTTCTATAAACGAAAGCCTAGTGAATTAAGCAAACGTACAATCAATAGTGGTGCATTCAGCAGAAGCAGAAAATGGTCAGTGAGACAGCATGGATTACTGGAAGCAACAGAATGTAAGCACCAAATGATGTACAGATACGGGCAGTTTGTCAGTGTCAGTTGGCCGTATAGAGAGATAACGGCGCAGAAAAGAATCAGTACGTTCTGGAGGTAAGGGACTGTCTTTGGTTGACGGCATCATGTGACAGCTCGTGTAACGTGACAAGTCGGATAGCGCGCTTAAAACCGTTTGAAACAAATCTCACCAAAGGCTACCTGACAGATGCGGTATATAGATAATACAAAAATAGACCTTCCCGGTTGTCAAGTTAGTGTGGTGGACAGCACGTTCGCCTACCATTCGAGGAGCTCTGGGTTGGTTGCCCGTTATTCTGTGGACTCCCGGAAATAGATGAAACAGACGAACTTGCAAGTAATGACGGACGGGCACCAAAATATTGACATTAGTCACTGGCGAGTGAGTGGACCTTAGGTATGAGCGAAACCGGGCGAAACGAGCAGCAAGGAAACGAAACGGCGTTACAATAAACGGGCACAAATCACGTTACCTATCAAAACACGAAAGAAAATGACCGCTGTTTACCGTTGATTCACACTAGGGATCAACAGTCTGTGATACTAATATTTGGATACATTCTTCCAGTTTATCTAGCAATCTCATATTACAATTGTCTACAAAATGAGAACGAGGATTGTCGACTTTCGGAGGGAGATTGTGTCCCAAAAAATCGATCAAAAAGACTCAACTTCAACGGAATTTCAGTTTATTAATTTAAAACCACAAGTTCTTATCAGAATACAAGAAACACTTGGCTGGCCTTTGAATATTTAAATGGATGCTCAAGTATACTTTCCAGTGATTGGTTCACTATCAGATTGGCCCTGTAGCAATTAGGGTCGATCATTATTCATATGCGCGAAGTTGCCGATTTTTTGAAACTAAGGCGTATGAGATTTGTTAATGGGCTATTCAAAGCTCGAGTTCTAGTGCAGTTGCTTGGCTGGAATCAATCCCAAGAAATCAACGGATTTATGAAGCTACTCAAAACGTGCTGGAATTTATGAGGTAGCCATATCACCCCTATACTGTCTATATTGGAAAGTGAAACTCAGACTGGTGTTTCCATGGCCGACAGCTAGTACGCTTGTTGCCACTTCCAAAAGCTCGATGGTAATACAAACATCGGCCCTTTTTTCCGTTTTAACCCGTTGGTACTATTGTATTCAGTAGGAATCGTACGACACATCACTTGCGTCCCTAGAGATGCCATAAACAACGTGCAATTACCACAGAGCCAAAGAGCAGGATGGATAAGTTAAACATGACAGGCTTATTTGACAAATGACTTAATGAGGGCGGTCGTGACAACAGAGATAACAAAACCAACAAATTATCCGAGAATTGAAGTAAAAAAAAACTTTTGGGGGAGACAAATAAACTCTGCAATATAATCTGAACAAGCGTATTTCATGGTCATACATCCCTCATCTCATTTCAGGTGAGAAGTAAATGTACCAGCCTACGCGAGTTTTTAATTCGGCTAGTTCCTCGTTTGTCCTAAGCACCTTCGAAATGGTGGCCGACCCCTACACTAATGAACCGTATACGTGGTGCTTCAAGAATATACTTCAAGTATTTTCGTCCCTCACCAGTTTTAGGTTCCTTGATATTGGTGGGCGCATCGTGTGTAATGATGAAAATAAAGCTTTATCGTCCACGCCCTTGAGCTTAACTCACATGCGGGGTATGGCGGGAATAGATGTGCCGTAACACGAACACCAAACAGCCAAATGGTTATCCTTGCGAAATTTAGTTCAATTAGGTGGGTAGCATTTCGCTGAAAACCTCGAAAGGTTGAAATTCGTACGGCGGTACCAGCACGAGCGCCTCAATGGCGTATCTGCCATCAACAACAGGTAAGAACATGTAATTAGTGGGCGGAAAGAACAAGACCCAAGGACGAGTAATGTCTTAAATGGAAACCCTTTTGAGTCAGGTATTTGCTCCAAAAGAGGCAAGAAAGTTCGATTTCCGATGATCTCTGTGGGCTGTATTAGTCGCCCCTTCCCAAAAGGAAGAAGCCGAAGAGACTTGGAGGTTGTCCGAGAGTGGTTTATTGACAGCAGGACAGTATCGTATCACGAAAAACGGCGCGCAGTATCAAACTAACTCAACGACTACGAAACCTCACCAAAAGAGTGGTAGGTAACTTCTGTCTTGGATGAGGGGTAGCAGTACCAACAAAATAGGGATCGGATGGAGTAGCAATTCGTTAAAATCTCCAAAAATCGGTGTATTATAGTAATTGTTTTTTTATTCCCAATCAAAGCAAAAACGATCGCTGAAGTACAAGATTCACAGAAGCAACCATGAAACCACTGGACATGAAAAAAGTATAAAATACGACCGTTGACAAAGTAGAGCCGTCAAACGTCCTCCTTGTGAAAAAGTAAAGTTATTATGGAATGTATTTCATTCTACAGCTTCATTGATCGCGCGCGGGGTGGAGAGGAAACCGCCATATCACACAAGGATTAAAATCCATAACGCATTGGAGCTGTCGAGCCACTTGCAGGGGCTGTATGCCGAGCCGTTGGTGTAGAGAAAAACGAACGAAGCAAAAATACCTGGCCAATGCCAACCAGAATGACAAGAAGAGAATGACCAATGGACCAGTACAGTACACGAGAGTTCAGCTGCAGTCCGAAATTGTATGAGATGGTGTGTATCATGCGCTCTCTTTGCTGAGTGGCCGTGATGTTGTGGAGGTTCAAGCCAATTCGGCGAGTTGTCGCGGCGAACTGAATGCGGTAAGACGGGGCAGAAAACTGTCAATTAATTGCTTTAAACAAACGCAAGAGTACATCTGGAACATTCTAATCGCCTATAGCCACACGAGTAGAGAAGGATCGTGACTCAATGTACTTACAATCAAAAGACTAACAGGAAAAATAGCGTAGAACTAACCTAACACCAAAGGCCAATCAGACAACGGGGGTAGAAACTGACAGCAACGGTGTCGTTTACATCGAATAGCAACCACATAGAACAATATTTGGTACCATGCCGACAGGCCCTTGTGGATGGTGTCCGCAGCTTTTTCGTAATTTGCCATATTTCCGTCTCTTGGTTCTTGCCACTCAGAATTCGAGACAGGAGACAACCCTCTATTCAGCAGACGGTAAGTCAGTATGGTGAGGCCTGGTGAGCGAACAAATTCAATTTTCACCGCGAAACCAGGAGATAAACAACACAAGAAAAAATTGAGCTAAATTTTCTTTTATTGAAAGGAGTTGAGATATACCTCAGATAGGGGAAGAGGTAGCACGCCCGCTCTGACCAGGACAAAAAAAATCGTTCAGCTGTAACACCCTTCCGGTGCCTAGCTGCCATGCTACCCGAAGGAAGCATGAGGGAATGATTCTAGAGAGGCTGGCAATGATAATTCATAGTCTAATAATAACAGTATCAATTATAATAACCTAGCTGCAATCCCCTTTCGGTGCCTAACTGACATGCCATCCGAAATAAGTACGACGGTTTAGGTACTGCCAGGTTGCCCAAGCCTAGAAATGGGCAGTGGGGGTATCTAGGTTGGGATCGAACCACGGAGCTCCTGGCTAGTAAGCTTGTGTCTCAACCACCGAGCTACCCCGGCTAAGCAATTATTATTATTATTATTATTATTGCTATAACAATACAATCACTGCTGGGGCTGACATGGTCCAAGTGGTTAGAGCGCCAGTTTACTGACCGGGAGGTCCGTGGTTCGAACCCGACCTCTACTTCTCGACTTCCCCTGTCTAGGCTTTGTAACCTGACAGTGTCCCAGCCCTCCTGCTTCGTGGACAGCAGAAAAATCACGGCTCAGAAGTAATACTTCACATGACAAATGACACCAACGCATGATTAACCACTTTAGGAAAGTGGCGTGAGTCGGCTCGCATAAAAGTCGAGCTTCTAATGCATCAGGTCAATGCCGCTGTGTATGAGGTCCTTCGAGTAATGATCTGAAACTCGACGTTACGTGAAACATCATTTCCTTTGAAATCCTGATGTTAATAAGCTTATGTGGGAAAAGTGAAGAGCGTGTCAGCTGGTCGGTGATTATTTGACCTGGTCTATTGATTAGCTAGCGAGTGGACATCGGCGAGAAATGAAGAGTTGCTCAGAATACAGACCAGCAGTGGTGATAGATGCCTGGGATACTGAGAGTCGGACCCTACAAACCACGTTTAAATGCACCAGCTCAATAGTGTTGAACTGACTTTCAAAAATCAACAATTATGTTCCGAGATTAACTCTGAACGGGAAAAATTGAACAATGTAAGACTGTCAGCAGAGATTGAATGCCCTGGATTGAAATCGGCTAAGCATTCTCAAGACAAGATTGAATCCATTTACGGACGACCTTTCTCATAGTACCCGCTTCTCTCAAGTGGTAGGACATGAACGTCGAATATTCTGCATCCAATAATCCAAACCCCAATCACACCACAAGTGACACATGTACAGTGGGTGAACGGTATATGGAAATGTGGATCACCAGGCCGCCATGGGCATAGATTCGGCAAGTATGGATCACCCGTTAGACCGTTAGACATTAGAACTGTCCTCCTCACGTTCATCCTCCGTAAGTATTCGGTTAAGTTAAGAGGGGGTACAAGTTGTTGAGTTGCTTGCACACGCGAATCAGTGCAAACCGCGAGTGACATTGACTACTCTGCGGGGAGGTCTACCGGCGTAGTTCGATGTGACAGACGGACTTCGGCCCACCAAACGAACACGTCTGGTGTTTACGTTTGAGCACTTGTGTGTACTCACTATCCATTCTCTTATCAATAATGCTAGCAATCTTTACGAATCGGCGAAGTTCTTGTGACCATATCGCTGACAAGCTATCGCGCGTTATCGTCTAATCACTAGGAAAACCTGTAGGAATAAAATGTCTGTAATTTCCGAGCTATAGAGCTAGAGGACTTTTTTTTATGATGAAAAGTGGTGAGAGATACTGTCTACAGAGGACCAAACGAAGAGCTGACGGCTCGTTTACACTTGAGCTGTCTCGAGCTCTATACAGAAATTAACTGAACGACAAGAATTAGCATGCGACGGTTACTCACTTAGCGTAAATTATCATTAATGAGAGGATCACATTCATAGTGAAATTATGGACAAATGGTCTCCAGTACGATAAACAAAACTGATTAAAACTGAGCAGTTTACAGGACCGGTCACAAAAGCCCGCCTGCGCCTCACTTACCAGCGTATCTGGGCCAACCTGAGATCCATAGGTCTCCTCCATCTCACTCGCGTTGTACCATGAGAAGAAGACAACTTTGTGAGTCATCGCAGAGAATGCATTGCCGAAGCACGCCTGTGAAGTTAAGCAACAATGACGATGCGTAAACAGGTTGTCAAAAAAGTGCTGAACAGAGTGTTACTGGAATAGTTTCCAACTAAAGAAACTTGCCGATGAACGAACCTATTCGGTCAATACGAGATGTCTGATTATATATATTACCTGCTTCCATGAGACAGAGTACGTTGGTCGAAGAACTGGTTGCTTATAACAAAGGGTTCGAGAACACCATCTGTTTGCTTGGTGAATACGTAAGAACGAGTGTTCTGCGGCCCATTGTGATTCACTTGGACGAAGCTATACAACAAAGAGACGTTAATTCAGCTTTCAAGGTCAGCTACAAAATTCCGGAAAATCAGCCAAAGATATTTGAACAACGTCTTGGTTAGAGCAGGGCAATCGACACCTATTTAGGAAACCCTGTTTTTCAAAGAAGTACATGCGCACAGCATACTTGGTGCGGACTCGAAGTCCAGGTGTCTCCATAGAGTAACAACCCCACCATACCATGTGACGCATATTGACTATAACTAATAATAACTAACTAATCACTGGTCTTTTAGACTGCGATATCTAAGCTGGTGGCCATTCCTACTTTGAATATTGTATCTAGTGACCGAAAAAAGAATTACGTTCGTTTCATCCATTGCCCTAGGAGGTCCCTTCGACTGGTTTACCTGCACTTCACCAGCAATTCTGAGATAGATATAACGGCACACGTCTTGGTTACAGCTCTGTGGATCGTCAGAAAAGTGGTGCCAAGGCTCAGCCAATTGACCTTTGCTGGCTGCCCAACTAGAATGAACCATCGAGTATTGATTATTGACCACCGTTTCCAGGTAGTCGTTTGGGTTTGTCATTATTACCACCCCTCCGAAACCCCGCACTACTCCTCAATACAGAATACCGATCACATCAGTGTACCACACATCTGATAACTTCAAGAGATCCTGTAAGTCTACACCAATAATTTGATTCCGATACAACTGCAATGGAAAAGCATCCACACAATGGAGGCATAGGATTCATACATTCCACAACTACCAAAATAGTAACGAAACTAACGTATCCCGATGAACTTATTATGCTTGTTCATTTCACAAATCATTCCGCCTACGACAACATTGCCGAATATGATTATGTCATTAAAATGTTGCGGAATACTCAGGCTAGACCCAAGAACAGGACCTATGCTCGTAATATTTTACCCATCTCCAATTAAAAGAAACGGTAGGATAGCACTCAGCCTGTGAAGAAACGGGAAGCATTCGCAGGTGACTGAACTCACCACGTTTTACGCTTTCGGGTGCATTACTAGGAGCACGAGGGCCAAACTCATTTCTGCACCAAAGCTTCACACTATCCGACAAGAAACGCCGTACGACACGAAATGCGTGGTAACGACATTCAGCAGCTGAACGTAAGTGAGGCGACCGGGCTTGTTGAGTCTCTAGCTATCACCCAGTCTTACACAGACAATCAATTCCCTGTTTTTCGCTCTATCGACCTCTTTCTACAATGCCAGACACCCCACCCCTCATAGTTTATTTTGAATGGAATCTACCTTAAACCTGCCAGTGTCCAGGACATCGCGGTTTGTTTGATAACTTAATCTGAGCATGAATGTAATTTTCATTTGCAACTGAAAACAGCTTTTGAATAACGGTTTACAACTGTTGGTAATGATGATCACCCTCGTCATCAACAACCTCGAAAACTGGCCTATTTTCTTGTAGCGAGATGCAGAAGCATGACCCAAACATCACATGAATGACTATCAGATTACGGATAAGCTCAAGCACGAGCATGACCGGTTTAAGTCATATCGGAATAATATAAGGACACCCACACATGCGCGAAGGTGCCACGCATCAATCTACCCTCGACTCAACTACGGCCTATTCTCTCTATGGCTTTATAGCAACTGAACACCATTCCTCATTGCTGATGTACTGCTCTCCGCTAAGACAGTGGCAGTTGTATTGATAGCTGTCAGGAACGTGTTGTGTAATCACACAAAATGA